GATATCATCATATCTCCCCCCCTGGGCCGTCATTATATCCCCCGGGCTATCATGATAGCGTCCACATTATTAGGCTTTTGTGAGGTTTAATATTTATTCCCATAATGCAATATATCATCTATTCAAGCCCGGTGACTGCGTGTGATTTCAAAGGCTTGATGTGGGAGCGGGGCGTCGGGAGGGGTGGGGAGGACCAGGATGGGGTGTGGGGGAGTATGGGGGGTGGGGGAAGGATGGGGGGTGGGGGGAGAATGGGGTGTGGGGGGAGTATGGGGGGTGGGGGGAGGATGGGGGGGTGTGGGGGAGGATGGGGTGTGGGGGAGTATGGGGGGTGGAGGGAGGATGGGGTGTGGGGGGAGGATGGGGTGGGGAGGGGTAAGGATGGGGGTGTAGGGGGTGGGAGGGTGGTGAGAGACAATTTATTCAGAGGTTTTCAGTAAAAAAAAATGTTTTTTTTTTTTTTTTGTTTTTAATTTTGCTCGGGTGGTTAATAATCGATAATTTAATTGGTACTTTTTTTTTGTATCGGCAGAATTTGCGATGTTCTGAGACGTTTTTGTTCACGTCCAAAGTTGGGACAAGGCGGATATGGCGCCTGTGTGTACACACACACACACACACACACACACACACACACACACACACACACACACACACACATACACACACACACACACACACACACACACACACACACACACACACACACACACACACACACACACACACACACACACACACACACACACACACACACACACACACACACACACACACACACACACACACACACACACACACACACACACACACACACACACACACACACACACACACACACACAGCTCGGTGGCTGAGTGAACAGCGCGCGGTACTCGTAATCCTGTTGGCTCAGGTTCGATTCCCGGGGCCGGCGAGGAACAATGGGCGGAGTTTCTTTCACCCCTGATGCTCCCCTGTTACCTAGCAGTAAATAGGTACCTGGGAGTTAGACAGCTGCTACGGGCTGCTTCCTGGGTGTGTGTGTGTGTGGACAAGAAATTAGTAGTTAGTAACAGTTGATATGATTGACAGTTGAGAGGCGGGCCGAAAGAGCACAGCTCAACCCCCGCAAGCACAACTAGTTGAATACAACTAGGTGAATACACACACACCAGTGCATGAAAAGATAAATGGAGTATCTAAAAAGATAAACGGAGCATCTAAAAGCTTTCTCGTCAATTAAAACAACCTCAAGGCGTTTAGAAATTTCAATAACTGGTGAGAGCAATTTGAAAACGATCTATCAGCTTTTATCTATCCCGTCAGAAAACAGGGGGGGAAGGAGGAAGGGGGGGGGTGGACAAGACGGGGCCCCCTTTGTGTAAAAAGTTAATATGAAACCATATCATTAGGATAGTTTTATTAAGGGTATCCCATATATCCAGCACAGGTCTTTGTAACAACATGGAAGACATTATAAGAGGCAGGAGAGAGAGAGACAGAGAGAAAGAGAGAGAGAGAGAGAGAGAGAGAGAGAGAGAGAGAGAGAGAGAGAGAGAGAGAGAGAGAGAGAGAGAGAGAGAGAGAGAGAGAGAGAGAGAGAGAGAGAGAGAGAGAGAGAGAGAGAGAGAGAGACAGAGAGACAGAGAGAAAGAGATAGAGAGATAAAAAACTTTTATATTCCATTGGAAACAATGTAAACAATGACCTTCACAGACTCCATTCCTGTACTCCACTTCCGGTTTTTGAGGCATTGAGCAAAATCTGACGTTTAATCATAGCTTGATAAGCCGCCTGTCAGATACAACAAAAATAAATCGTAGATAATTTTATATTTTATTTTAATTCACTCGCATTTTTTTCGCATTTTATTCGTGTCCATCACTGAGGAGATCCCTCGGTTCGATTCCCAGGCGGGGCAGCAATGATTGGGCACGTTTCTTTCACCTAATGGCTCTGTTCACCTATGTTGTTCACCAAACAGTACCTACAGGCTTCCTGACAAACTTATTATAAATTAAATGGAAGAAAATAGTCACGACTAAATTACCCTAAGATAACGACCAAATTGCTCTTAAGATATCGAGCAGATTACCCTTAAGATAACGACCAAATAATACTGATCAAATGAGCTAAAGTGGTGAAGTTTTTTTCCAGCATCCGAGCTCATCTGTCAGTTGTAGAGAGCATCATAGTGTCGAGTAGTGCACTATCATCATACTCTCAGCAAGCTATACCACTATCATCATACTCTCAGCAAGCTATACCACTATCATCATACTCTCATCAAGCTATACCACTATCATCATACTCTCATCAAGCTATACCACTATCATCATACTCTCAGCAAGCTATACCACTATCATCATACTCTCAGCAAGCTATACCACTATCATCATACTCTCAACAAGCTATACCACTATCATCATACTCTCAACAAGCTATACCACTATCATCATACTCTCAACAAGCTATACCACTATCATCATACTCTCAACAAGCTATACCACTATCATCATACTCTCAGCAAGCTATACCACTATCATCATACTCTCAACAAGCTATACCACTATCATCATACTCTCAACAAGCTATACCACTATCATCATACTCTCAACAAGCTATACCACTATCATCATACTCTCAACAAGCTATACCACTATCATCATACTCTCAACAAGCTATACCACTATCATCATACTCTCGGCAAACTACCACTATCATCATACTCTCAACAAACTACCACTATCATCATACTCTCGGCAAACTACCACTATCATCATACTCTCAACAAACTACCACTATCATCATACTCTCGGCAAACTACCACTATCATCATACTCTCAACAATCTGCCACTATCATCATACTCTCAACAATCTACCACTATCATCATACTCTCAACAATCTACCACTATCATCATACTCTCAACAAACTACCACTATCATCATACTCTCGTCAAGCTATACCACTATCATCATACTCTCGTCAAGCTATACCACTATCATCATACTCTCAACAAGCTACCACTATCATCATACTCTCGGCAAACTACCACTATCATCATACTCTCAACAAACTACCACTATCATCATACTCTCGTCAAGCTACCACTATCATCATACTCTCGTCAAGCTATACCACTATCATCATACTCTCAACAATCTACCACTATCATCATACTCTCAACAATCTACCACTATCATCATACTCTCAACAAACTACCACTATCATCATACTCTCGTCAAGCTATACCACTATCATCATACTCTCGTCAAGCTATACCACTATCATCATACTCTCAACAAACTACCACTATCATCATACTCTCAACAAGCTATACCACTATCATCATACTCTCGTCAAGCTATACCACTATCATCATTCTCATGTCAAGCTATACCACTATCATCATACTCTCAACAAACTACCACTATCATCATTCTCATGTCAAGCTATACCACTATCATCATTCTCATGTCAAGCTATACCACTATCATCATACTCTCAACAAACTACCACTATCATCATACTCTCAACAAACTACCACTATCATCATACTCTCGGCAAACTACCACTATCATCATACTCTCAACAATCTACCACTATCATCATACTCTCAACAATCTACCACTATCATCATACTCTCAACAAACTACCACTATCATCATACTCTCGTCAAGCTATACCACTATCATCATACTCTCAACAAGCTATACCACTATCATCATACTCTCAACAAGCTATACCACTATCATCATACTCTCAGCAAGCTATACCACTATCATCATACTCTCAACAAACTACCACTATCATCATACTCTCAGCAAGCAATACCACTATCATCGTACTCTCAACAAACTACCACTATCATCATACTCTCAACAATCTACCACTATCATCATACTCTCAACAATCTACCACTATCATCATACTCTCAACAAACTACCACTATCATCATACTCTCAACAAACTACCACTATCATCATACTCTCATCAAGCTATACCACTATCATCATACTCTCAACAAGCTATACCACTATCATCATACTCTCAACAAGCTATACCACTATCATCATACTCTCATCAAGCTATACCACTATCATCATACTCTCAGCAAGCTATACCACTCTCATCATACTCTCATCATACAGAAGAGCCTCAAGGTCAGGCTGGTGTTGAATTGCATGTTTCATGAGTGCTCCATTAAATGATTCCACTGTCTTTGTTCAGACAACATTCTTCATGCGAAATTATCCTTGTAATTATATGCCTGTCCCTTTCTTGTTTATCTCTTGGTAAGAGATAAATGCTTGGAATTTTTCCCTGTCCTGTTGGTGGTGGGAGGAGCGGGTTCTGTTTCTCGTGGGATGCTAGTGGAGGCCAGGGTTTGGCAGCTTTTGTCCCCTCAGTGGGGTGTTGGTGGGGCCCGGGGGGGGGTTGTTGTTGTTTGTGCTGCTTTGTTGCTGGTTGGGTTGGTGTATGTTGTTGTTATTGGAGGATCTGTGAAGGTTTGGTCATGTTTCAAACATGTATTTTAAAATATTTTGTGGTTGAAGATATGTGTGGTTGATATTAAGTTGGAAAATTTGCAACCCAAAAGTTCGTTCTCTCTCTCTCTCTCTCTCTCTCTCTCTCTCTCTCTCTCTCTCTCTCTCTCTCTCTCTCTCTCTCTCTCTCTCTTCTCTCTCCTCTCTCTCTCTCTCTCTCTCTCTCTCTCTCTCTCTCTCTCTCTCTCGCTAGAAATATTACATAAAGATGAACATTTGTTGATAAATGCAGAAAGCAAATCCGCCAAATCGCAGGAGGTAAGCGCCAATATTTCTTAAAGAGAATGATAATATGACTAACTCCGACTAGCCTTTGACATTCATATCCCCCCAATGTGTCATACTGAAAAGTTTAGTGAGGCTAGCCCTGAGCGTCGGGCCTCCAAACCTGAACAGACAGACATTTTGTTTTAAAGATAAATATGTGGCTCAAGAGCTCAACCGGACGCATTTCTCTGTGTTTTACAGGTGTGGTGTGAACTGGAGGAGAGTGGAACTGGGTGGACGGTGGTGCAGAGACGAGGGTCCATGACCTCAGACACGCCTCACCCCGTTGTCGACTTCTTCAGAGACTGGGCCGAGTACAAGTGGGGCTTCGGTAACCTGGAGGGAGAGTACTGGCTAGGTGAGTACTGGCTAGGTGCGCGATGTGTCTAAATCTTTGGTCTTGTAAGCATACCCCACACACACATGTGTGTACTCTCTGTACTGTCTCTACATGTACTCTCTGATCCCACACTAACCACAACATACTCTCCCGCACGGCCCAGGACTGGAGTACATCCACCAGTTGACGCAGTCGGGCGACTACGAACTGAGGGTCGACCTGCAGGACTGGGGGAACGAGACCCGTTGGGCCAAGTACAAGCACTTCGCTCTGGCTAACGAGGACCACAACTACACCCTCGCTCTTGGTGACTACGAGGGTACGGCAGGTGAGTTCTGTGTGTGTTGTGCTGTGTTGTGCGTTTGCTTGTGTTCCGATAACTTTTCTTATCACAACATAATCAATTTTCTGAAGATCGATGAAAAGCTTAGCGTTCAGAATAATTCTTTGGCAAAGACTCAAGGATCCGACACATTTCGAGTAGCTAAAAGTGTCAACAGCTTACGAAAGGGAATTATCAGGAGGAAAACACTGTAACTGCGCAGGACATGGAAGGGGTTCGAGGATGGGATAGGAGCTGGAATAGGAAGATGGAGCAACAGTCAACAATGTAGTTCCGAGGAGACGATTGAATACTATTGATTGAAACATTTATGTTCGCACAGAAAACACTATTGAACTCCTTTCCGGCTGTTTGCAAGAGGCTCCTTTCTCTTCATTTGTAAGATAAACACGACTGATTTTCTAACTTTGAATGCTAGCGGCGCAAATTAAACACCCACTGAGTTCCGGCGCTAATTGCAATTTGAAGTGTCTGCGTGTGTGTGCTGACTCGGCAAGGCTGAAGTCTTTGCTGTAGCTCTGATGAGTTGCTGAGTTCGTAGTCTCTTGGGAACGAAACAATCCTCATTGAGCTCTCTTCTTAGTTATTATGAAGCGTTAATTTAGATCTCTTTCTCGCTCTCTCTACCTCTCTTTCTCGCTCTCTCTCTCTCTCTCTCTCCCTCTCTCCTCTCTCTCTCCTCTCTCTCCTCCTCTCTTTTCTCCTCTCTCTTTCTCGCTCTCTCTCTCTCTCCCTCTCTTTCTTCCTCTCTCTTTCTCGCTCTCTCTCTCGACCTCTCTTTCTTGCTCTCTCCCTCTCTCTTTCTTGCTCTCTGGCTGTCTCTCTCTCTCTCTCCCTCTTTTTCTCCCTCTCTCCCTCTCTTTCTTGCTCTCTCGCTCTCTCTCCCTCTCTCGCTCTCTCGCTCTAGTCAAGGAGTTTAATTTGAGTACTGAAGATGTTAAAGGTGGATCCGCCCACCCTGATGGGCGGTCATCCCATACCCGTCACCCAGGAATTTAGGGCCTTCTGAGTGCCGGTAGGTGCTGCCATTCTCTTCATCAGCGCCAACTCAAAGGCCAGGGGCTTTGTAGGATTGAGCAGTACCTGTGTCTGACCGCTTGAGCGCTTCCTGCGGGGTCCTGCAGGTCCTGTACGCGGCTCGCGTCAGCCGAAGAGTTCAGAGCGCACGAGTGATGTGGGGCGCCTACCGTTATAGTGCCTCTGGAGAGAGTCTTCCTCGAAGTTCCCTGGAGTGCTTGCCGGGTTGGACGACCCCATACCCGAGCACTCGCACCATACGAGCGATTGAAGGCTATTGTTCACACGGAATTGTTTTGAACCCGTGATATTGTTGGCCCCCTCGATAAACAATCTCTATATACCACGTCTCATTTTAACTGTGTAGTGTCTAAGATCTTGAAGGTACCACGAACCACCAGACGTACCACATCGTGGTACAGTAGTCTGAATATCGCGGTACAATTGAATATCATTGTACAATTGGGTACAGTTGTAAATATAACGACAACGATATACTGAATATCGCAGTACAGTATATTGAGTACCATGGTACAGGACTTGGAAAATCGTGGTGGTACAGTACACTGTAACAGACGAAATCACAGCATCAATATATGACAACAGGACTCCAAAACTCTCTGAGGAAGCAACAGTGGGCAGTGTTGCACAGTGTTGAAGGGAGAGACAGAAGAATGAACAGTGGGAGTCAGTACGAGACAGAGAGACAGAAACTGACAGATACACGTGGAGACAAAAACTAAACAGAAAGTGGGAGCTGACAGGAATCCACAGAGAGAGAGAGAGAGAGAGAGAGAGAGAGAGAGAGAGAGAGAGAGAGAGAGAGAGAGAGAGAGAGAGAGAGAACAAACGTGCTTGACAACAGAATTTGCTTCTGGCATAATTTGTAGCGAGGGGGGGTGGGGGAGGAGGAGAGGACTGTGAAAGGCGACAATTAGTGAACATGTCAATGCGCACAGGTGCGCCACTGCGCTCGTGGGGGCGGTTATCTGATTTATTCCTCGTTAACGCCCCTGTCAGAACGCATTCACATTGCCGGACAACTTTTTCCTGCCTGTCCCTGTGTACATGTATCTGTGTCTCCAATGATACAGTGGTTTCTGATTCATTGACGCGAGTTTATATAGTGTACATGTATAGGGGCTTGTGGGAATGTTCTGAGGTTTGATATAATAATCTTTCCCAACAGAAAAGGAATTCTTGTGTGTGTGGAACATTTGAGAGGAAATTTGTGTCTGCATATTTTTGTTCGCGTGGGATATTTTCACAGGTGATATTGAAACCTGAATTTACCTGAGGGGGTCACTATCCCTCGAGTGGCTTCGACGAGGATAGAAAGCCGGCAGCTTGTTAAAGATCTTCAACCCTCTCCCCACCTCCATTTTTCCTAATGATTTTATCTTGCTGGATTTTGAACTGTAACAACAATGTTTGAGTATTTACAGCTTCAACGGGTAGGCGGTTCCATGGGTTTATAACACTTTGGAGGGGGGAAGCATCGCTCCTGTTTTCTGCCCAACAATGTGGCTTGTTGAGCTGGAAGCTGTCGCCCCCTTGTGTGTGTGTGTGTGTGTGTGTGTGTGTGTGTGTGTGTGTGTGTGTGTGTGTGTGTGTGTGTGTGTGTGTGTGTGTGTGACATCTGACCTTTCAAACAAGTGGTCTGGATCAATATCTTCCAAATTGTTCAGTGTTTAGTGACTCTTATACCCTACACACCTGCCTTTTCCACAACACACACACACACACCTGTCGCTCCCTTGCCCACCCTTGCGTCCGCGACTCGCAATCCAGGGACCCGGGTACGATTCCCGATTGAGACAAATAGGCAGAGTTTCTTTTACCTGATGCCTCTTTATACTTAGCAATAACTATTCTATTCTATACACATCCACTCAGGGCATATAAGATGCCCTGAGTAGATGTGTTCAAGGAGAAATAGTCACGCACCTGAAGACACAAATATGTAAATAAATACACACACACACACACACACACACACACACACACACACACACACACACACACACACACACACACACACACACACACACACACACACACACACACCTAGTGACCACCCATCCCTCCGTGACTCCCTAACTGAGCCTTGACCCCATCTCCTCCTACAGGCAACTCCCTCAAGTACCACCAAGGGGCGTCTTTCAGCTCCAGGGACCGAGATAACGACCTCAACCCCCGGGGGCACTGCGCCCGCACCTTCCACGGTGCCTGGTGGTTCACCGCTTGTCACGAGGTGAGTAACTTGTCTTGTGAGTATAACTTGTCGTAAGTTGTTGTGAGTTGGATAGATTGTGGTGAGGCGTGAGGCGTTCTTTCCATGGTAATTACGTATCTCATGAATGTGTCAAAGCGGATTGGTAAAGGGATTAGGAGGAGTCTTGGAAAGAGAAGTAAGGAGACGAAGGAAGGAACAAGTAAGATGCCATGAGTAGATGTGGTAAAGGAGGAAAAATTTCCTAGGAGAGAAGAATGGAACCAGGAGAGGAGAGGGAATATGAAGAGGCAGAGGAGAACTTAGAGTAAAGAGGCACAGGAGGTCTATGGAATGAAAAGGCACAGTAAATCCTAACTCGAAGAATGAATTGTGAGAGGATCTGTTCAATGACCTTTTTCTTGAGAAGTGAAAGGGGGCAACAACAAGTTTCTCGATCAATAAGCCTCAGAGTACTTGTTTATTTTCAGTCAACCTGATTCACTGCACTGTTGCTTCAAGCAACGCTCTTGCATTAGTTAGTGTACCAAGGGAATCAATTCAAATGTCAAACGTGAAATAATGATAAGTTTGTCACCTAGTTCTAAGTGGATGTGTGTGTGTGTGTGTGTGTGTGTGTGTGTGTGTGTGTGTGTACTCACCTAATTGTGCTTGTGGGGGTTGAGCTTTGGCTCTTTGGTCCGGGGTGTGTGTGTGTGTGTGTGCGCGTGTGTGTGTGCCTCCGCCACAGCTGGCCCACACTAACATGTGGTCCCTCTTTTGTCTCCCTCCTCCTAACAGTCCCACCTGAACGGTCGTTACCACCACGGCCGCCACAAGAGCTACGGAGACGGCATCAACTGGATGGCCTTCCGCGGCCATAACTACTCCCTCAAGTTCTCCAGGATGATGATCAGACGCACCAACATCTAAAGGAGAGAGAGAGAGACACCCCCGAGGCCACTCAAGGGGGTGACAATTCAGTCCTTGGGTCCACGTGGCTTTTACTGTTGATACCAGAAGCGGAAGTGTTCAAGTCTCCAGCACGGGATAGACATAGGCCAAGCGAATGTTATACGCGAGAATATATGAGGATTCCAAAATAAGATTATACCTGGAGGTACTCACAGTTCGAAGTGTCTCCAAGAATATATATATATATATATGACTCATATCATTAGATTGTAGGAGGGTGGGGGGTGGGGAGGGTGTTAGTCGAAGTCTTTGGTACGCGGTGTTAGTCGAAGTCTCTGGTACGCGGTGTTAGTCGAAGTCTTTGGTACGCGGTGTTAGTCGAAGTCTCTGGTACGCGTGTTAGTCGAAGTCTCTGGTACGCGGTGTTAGTCGAAGTCTTTGGTACGCGGTGTTAGTCGAAGTCTCTGGTACGCGGTGTTAGTCGAAGTCTCTGGTACGCGGTGTTAGTCGAAGTCTTTGGTACGCGGTGTTAGTCGAAGTCTTTGGTACGCAGAAGTGACGCATATATAGGTGACGCAGTACCGGTGGGCGTACATATGAGCACCGGCAGTAGGTAATGAGATAGATAGTTTAATAGGTTAATGAGACACCGACGAG